TCTTAATCTTGGGATTTAAAGTTCGTTTCAATTACAGTAAATTTTGGGATTCCAACTTTCAGCTGGCCAGACCTCCAAAAGGCTCTAAAAATGGAAAATTAATAATTATGATAGTAATTTTGCAAGATTAGTTTGAAAATGACCAGAATTTCACCAAGTGGATTTTTTTTTCTTCAGACAAATTTCGACATTTTAACTAGCCATTTTTGACGGAGTTTTTTTTTATCTTTCAAAAAGTATTGTTGTCCTGAGCTGAAAATTGAAAAAATATTCCACCTGTGATCTTTTTTTTTTAAGTTATTGCCCAATTTAGGCCAATTTAGGACATTTAACGCACGATATATTTCACGCTATTTACGCGTAAGCGGAGAGTTAATCCGTCCTAAAATTGTTCCAAATTGGTTGAAAGAAGCTTATTTGCCATAATTGATTTGTTACAAGGAGCGAAATTTATCCTTTTGTACTTTATATGGCGTGTGGGGGATGATTTTCATAAAAAATTTCAAATTTTAGAAAAAAATAATTTATTTTTTCTTTGCATTTAATTTTTTAATGTCCTTACTGCTCCATAAAACCTTAAAGGGCAGTCGGAACATTCAGAGCTTTGCCCTGATACGAGCAGTTTTGTTTGCTTTCAAATTCAAATATTAAAATTTAATGTACTCCAACTGTACAACGCCGACTTCTTAACTCTTAATTTAAATTGCAAATTGAAAACTGAACTCCGGTAACAAATAAGAACTTTTCGTACAAAAGCTTTGCACAAATCGAAGAAAAAACAAGTATTATATATATGTGTGAGTTTCTACATCAAATGTTTTTTATGTCGCTCGTTTCAACTCCTTCGGGTATAAATGATGAAAAGAAGCGGGCTGAGTATGGATCCCTGTGGTACTCCATATTTCACAAATTTAATTTGAGAGCGTTTGGTTGTAGTGGCAACGTATTGTTGTCAGTTTTTAAATAAGATTTTAGAAGATCAAAAACAGGTCCCCGAAAACCATATGCGTCACATTTCTCAAGTAAAAGAATCTGGTCAACTGTATCAAAGGCTTTCTTAAGGTCAATGAATATGCACTGTGTGTTCGTGGTATTAGAGTTCCAATCTTGACGCACTTCTTCCATTAGGGTTATCAAAGCATCAATTGTACTCCTTTTCGATCTGAACCCAAACTGATAATTTTGTAGTAACTGACACTTAGTGAGATATTGGTTCATTCAAAATTATGATAATCCTAGCCGCTCTTAAACAATCTGGACTGCTTTTTTAAAACTTTCAAAACTTTCCAGTCAGTTGGAAATAGTTTTTTTGTCTAGCTGCACCTTATTATGATAAATTACTCTGCTTCAACCAATTTGGAAACAAATTTGAACAGCTAAAAACAAAGTATTGGAGAAAACGGAAACATAATTCGCTTCAATTTTCCACAAAAAAATGTATGAAAAAACTATTTATTTATCCAAAACTATTGCAAAAAAAAACCAAAACTGCTCGTATCAAGGCGAAGCCCTGAATGTTCCGACTGCCTGGTAAGGTCTATAGAGCAGTAATAACTTGAAAAAATTAAAAGTAAAAAAAATTTTTTTTTTTCAATTTGAGATTTTTTTGTTAAAATCACACCCCCATACGCCATATAAAATACAGAGTGATAGATTTCGCTCCCAGTAACAAAGCAGTTATGGCAAATAGGCGTCCTTCAACCAATTTGAAACGATTTCTAAGACGGATTAAATCTCCGCTTACGCGTAAATAGCGTGAAATATGTCGTGCTTTAACTGTCCCAAACTGGCCAAAACGGCAATCTTTAAACCCGAATAACTTTGCAAAAAATGATCACAGGTAGAAAATCTTTTCAATTTTCAGCTCAATACAATACGAGAATAACAATTCTTTTTGAATGATACAGAAAAATCCCGTCAAAAGTGGCAAATTAGAAAATCGAAATTTGTCTGAAGAAAATAAAACCACTCGAGCACCAATAATTCGTTACTTTTGTTACAAAAGTTGGAACAATAACATAGTTCACCGCAAAAGAAACTTTGGGATGGTAAAAAAAGAAAAACCGAGAAAAAATTTTAATTTGAAACAAAAACTGCGCCGAACGTACATTACGATGCGAAACTTGATCAATCCGACAAAATTTTCACATGTTTAAAGACTTGTCTCTGGAATCCAGGAACATACAGACACAAAATTGTGCTCCTATCCAGTGCACAGTTTGGGGTCGTAATGTATTTCATACGAGAGACAGAAACTTTGCGCTAATCAGGGCCTTTGATTGATCAAGTATGCGCTAATAACAAAAAGAGTTTATCAAACCCATTATGAGAAGCATAAATAGAAGAATGTCATGTGAAAGTGAAGGACAAAAGATTGGACAATCTATCTCGGCCGTCGATAATAATTGATCCAAAAAGTGAACAGTCAAACGTGAATTAATTTTTCTTTCTATGTTTTCTAACGACATCGTTAAATTGTAACATTAAAATTAGTATCATTTGTAGATTCGATATTTTGCAAATGAGTGTGACTGTTGATCCGACAATCCTTTGACAAGGTGTGTTCAAAACACGTGTTTTGATGAGCACTCTCTCATTCACTTCTAAGGTTTTCGAAGCCATCCCGCAACCAACTTAGCGTAAAGGCATAAAGGATCGATTATAACAGAATATTATGACGATTTTTATCAATTATAGTTGATTATAATTACCAATGTTAGGTGTTTAAAATATTTATGATTGATTATAATTGTTATGTTTTCCAAGAGATTATAATCTCTTATAATTGATTTTAATTGATTATAGTTCTTACACAAAACCCTTAAAATCAATTATAATCGATTATAATCTATTATAATCTCCTATTTTGCCAAACTTTTGTCAAATCAAAACAATCTTCGAATCGTCTTTTTTGGGTTATTAATTTTGTGCCATCAATAAAATCTCTAAAAAAGAGATCTCTTGAACACTTTGGTTCTTCTGAACACAAAGTTTTACCACAAAAAAAAGTTTCATAGACATCCTTTCATATTAGTGGAAAATTTCCCGCGCTAGATGAAAAATAAATCATCCGAATCAATCATGAAATTAAATCAATTTGCTGATGTTTTGGTGGTTAAAAAAGCTTAAAATATGTATCACAAAACAATTTTAATAGGGAAGAAATGAAAAAAAAACATATAAGTTTGAATTGAACGGAAAACTTTAAAAACATTTTTCTCATTTTTTATAGGAACGAACGTATACAAAAGAATGAAATATAAGCAATTTAGATGCAACTTCGAAGACAAAATGAACAAACAAGAGCGATTATTACCAATAATCATCAATTATAATGGATTTTTGTGCAAAACTAATGAAATGGAAATTTGAATAAAAATAATAGATTTAATCAATTATAATTGATTATAACTGTATCGAAAAATGGGCAAATAAAAATCTATTATCATGTATTATAATTTATTTTAATTTGATTTTAAAAATAGAGATTATAAGCGATTATTAATTGATTAAAATTGATTGTTTCTCATTTTTAGTAAGACTGGTACTAAAATCGTGATATAATCGATTATTAACAATTGAAACTGGATGCGGGGTTCTTTTGGCAGCAGGCAGAAAAATTTGCTGAACTCTGAGATGATATACTTCAGTAAGTTGAATTGTTTTAGGTTCAATCTAGTTTTAAATTATTCGCGGTTTGATAAACTCTCATTGCATTTTGTGTTGAACCATTTTCTTTAGTATTTTTTAAAAGTAACACAATAAAATGAACTAAAACAAAACTTCAAATTCATTTTCCACATATTCGGCTAATTTTGGACAAAGTCTGAAGGTCAACAAAATTGTTTGACCTTTCATCAATATTTCTATAAAGAAACCTAACAAGACTGCTCGTATCAGGGCAAAGCCCTGATTGTTCCGACTGCATTTTAGGATCTATGAAGCAGTAATAAAATGAAAAATTCAAATGTAATAAAATAAAATTTAAAAATTAAAAAAAAAATTGACATTTTTTTCTATAAACTACAAAAGAATAGATTTCGCTGCTTGTAGCAAATCACTTATGGCAAATAAGTTTCTTTGAACCAATTTGGAACGATTTCTATGACGGATTAAATCTCCGCTTACGCGTTAATAGCGCGAAATATATCGCGCGTTAATTGTCCCAAAGTGGCCAAAATGGCAATATTTAAACCCCCATAACTTAACGAAAAATGATCACAGGTGAAATATTTTTTCAAATTTAAGCTCAGGACAACAATACTTTTTGAATGATATAAAAACAATTCCGTCAAAAATGGCTAGTTAAAATGTCGAAATTTGTCTGAAGAAAAAAAAACCCACTTGGTGAAATTCTGGTCATTTTCAAACTAATCGTGCAAACCTACTATCATAGTTATTGATTTTCCATTGTTAGAGCCTTTTGGAGGTCTGGCCAGCTGAAAGTTGGAACCCCAATACTTACTTTAAATGAAATGAACTTTAAATCCCAAGATTAAGATTAAGACCATTTATCCACGGGGAACGGACCAACACAGGAGCTGTACAGCTCATCGCGGCGAAGGGCCGTTGTGCGAAACCATGATGAGATGATGAGATTTCGCGAAACCATGATGAGATTTCGCGAAACCATGATGAGATGAGAGCTCACGTTTTCCCCCTTGACACACATCTGTTAAGTTAAATTCAAGGGATGACCTAATTTTCTTCGTTTGACAAAACAGTTTTCGGAGATCCAAGTTAAGATCGTCCACCCCTGCGTTCATTTTAATTTAAATCTACTGACGCTGCATGTAAAATGCTCTATTCTGATTGGCTGAAAATTCGAACTCAGAACCAAGTTAACATCCTCCCCTCCCCCTTAAATGGGTTTTGGGGGGATGTTAACTTGGTCCCAGTTTTCCATGAAGAGCAACATATGGTACAGGAAAATTACAATGGGATTCATTTCTTGCAGGAATAAGCTATTTCCCTCTAAGATTTAGACAGAAAGCATTTAATTCAAAAAGTTAGTCGCAATTTCAGTTAAATACTCAATCAAAGCTGTATTATACAAAGTTTAATCAGCCCCACTTGTTTTGTAACGGTTTAACGTTCAACAGTAATATACTAATAAATTTGTTTTAGTCGACAAAGTGTTTTGCTCTTCCATTTTATGAGCATAAACTGTTCATAATTTTCACAGTTCGTTGTTTTGCACTTCTCGAGATTTACAGAGAATATAAGAGTGAGTATGGTCGTAGAAGTAAGACCACATAAGCCGCATGGAATTAGCTTTCACAGGCACAGAGCATGGACTGGCTGCCGGGTTGAACTTCCCGTCCATATCTAGGAGGCCAGGCACATACCAGCCAGACCAGCCTCCGCTGAACCACCTAAAACAAACAGTGGATCTACTTAACAATTGCCCCCCCCCCCTTTAAGAAAGGGGGGCAATTGTTAAGTAGATTGAAATAACGCATTTTCGACCAATCAGAATGCAGCAAAATTCTAATTCTCAATAGAAAGGTCAGTGCTAATTTAATGCTTTTATTGATAGGGGTGGCAATTCTTAAGTAGATCCCAAACAGTTGCTGGTTTCTGGATGTAATCATCCGTTGATCTAAAAAGGCAGAGAAGGACGTTAATTATAAGACAAAGACAAATGCGTTGATAGACGCAAAGTTGTTATTTATTATTGTTTGATAGACAAAAAAATTGTTTTTACTATATAAAACACCGTTTTCTACTTAAAAACATTGTTAGGAGTTTTGATCCGCTTTTCGAGATAAATTCTGTCTTAAAGTTTATTGGGCTCTGTAAAAAGCTCAAGTTGATTAATCATGCCAGTGATTCAGTAAGTAGGTTTGGCGTAATTTTTGATTGACTGAAAAAAAAAACGAAAATGGTCGTTTTTGGAGTAAAATTATGGACTCGAATTTTGCAAAATAAATTGCATCATATCAATTCTGCTGAAATTTTAAGCAAATTTTGTAAACATCGTTTTTTCTCTGAAGTCAACGCAATTTGAAAAATTTTGTTATAATCTGTAAGTTTTTTTTTTCGTTTTTTTCCGGATATTTTAAATCAATACTTTACTAATAGGTTTCACATCTGCGTTTCAAGTTTTTGCTTCAACAGTATATAACCGGAACAAAAACGAAGAAAAGGACTTCCTTTTGCGATCCCATGTGGTTACCCGCACTCAGTAAAAAAAAGTAATAGATCATAATGGGTTTTTATTGTCAGTCTCCATATTTTTCAAAAACAATAGATTATAAATGGATTATAATGTTACTATTTTTCGAAACAAAAAAAATCATTATAATCGTTTATAATCTATTATAATCGATTATTTTTAAAAAAAATTCTCAAATTTTATTGAATTATAATCCATTATAATGGGTTATAATCAATTATTATTCAACAATTGTCATCGCTCCATTTCGTTTTATTTTGTTTTGTTTTGTGTGCTTTTCAGTTGGTTACCGAACAAGAAGAAACTGTAATTTTGAACTTATAGCCAGGGGCGGTTTTAGGGGGGGGGGGGGGGTTGGGGTGCTGGGGTTTCCTCTCTTGAACTATCTTGAGATATCCAATTTTGGCGACGGAACCTATGAACTTTCTAAAGGCGCCTTTGGCGCCAATATATACTAATTTTGAGAGAGAGATCGCACCAAAAAAAACGCGATTTTTATATCAAAATTTTCCAAAAATTGTCTAAAAACGCCTTTTTTGGCCTGTTTTTTTTTGTAATTTTGCCTGCGGTGCAGAAAGTTTGAACAGAATGGGTTCTTTATAGTGAGTTAGGAAAGCTCAGAAAATCAATGTGGTCAACCTAAAAAAAGGTCAATTTTCAAAAAAAAAATTTTTTGAAAACCTACCCCTTCCCCCGAGAAAGTCCCAGATCCGCCCCTGCTTATAGCTTAATCTTATATTAAATTTGATTTTTACCGTACTTTCTTGCAGAATAGCTAAATCATAATTCATTATAGCTAATTTTTTGTGAGATAAAATTTTGATAGAAAGCGTGGTTATAATCTATTATAATAGATTGTAAAAGATTTTCGGAAAAATTATAACCAATTATAATTCATTACAGTTTTTTAAAATTTAACCAAAAATGTTATCATTAAAATGAATTATAAATCGTTTAAAAATCTAAAGTATGCGCTATAATAATAATTTTGATAAAAGTATGATTATTATTATTATTATATAATTGATTATTTTCTCTTTTTACTGAGTGCGGGTAACTAAGAACGAGATCGAAAACCCTGTAGTGCTTGAATTGCGTAATCGGAAGCGCCCGCAACGGAGTTAAATGGATTAATATCAATTATGACGGAAAAACGATGACTTTAACATTGTCGTTAAAATCCACTGACCCCGCAAATTTAGACAAGGAAAAAATGCTGCATTATAATTACCTTTTTGCATGATAATAAAAACATGACCACTCAAAATCCATTATGATCGCTTGTAATCAATTTTGTATTCATAAGTATTGATTATAATAGATTATAATCTTTATAACCTATAATTTAATCGGCATTTAACCCCTACTAACGGTTACCATCTCACTCCCACCTTTGGAAGATTTTGAACGCTGGAGAGACAAAAAAATGTATTCCGACTTAAGAGGGTTTGAAACAAGAAAAAAAAGTAGGTTTCGCGTTGCGGGTGATTGAGTAAGTAGGCTTGGCGTAATTTTTGATTGACTGAAAGAAACCGAAAATGGTCGTTTTTGGAGTAAAAGTATGGACTCGAATTTCGCAAAATAAATTGCATCATATCAATTCTGCTGAAATTTTAAGCAAATGTTGTATACATCGTTTTTTCTCTGAAGTCAACCCAATTTGAAAAATTTTGTTATAAACTGTAAGTTTTTTTTTTTTCGTTTTTTTTCCGGATATTTTAAATCAATACTTAACTAATAGGTTTCACATCTGCGTTTCAAGTTTTTGCTTCAACAGTATACAACCGGAACAAAAAACGAAGAAAAGGACTTCCTTTTGCGATCCCATGTGGTTACCCGCACTCAGTAAAAAAAGAAAGTAATAGATTATAATGGGTTTTTATTGTCAATCTCCATATTTTTCAAAAACAATAGATTATACTCAAGGAAAAAAAAATGCTGCATTATAATTACCATTTTGGATTATAATAAAAACATGACCACTCAAAATCCATTATGATCGCTCGTAATCAATTTTGTATTCATAAGTAATGCTTATAATAGATTATAATCTTTATAACCTATAATTTAATCGGCATTTAACCCCTCCTAACTGTTACCATCCCACTCCCATCTTTGGGAGATTTTGAACGCTGGAGAGACAAAAAAAATGTAATTCCGACTAAAGAGGGGAAAAAAGGAAGAAAAAAAACAAGATATAAATTTTGGAAGCCATTTTGAGCCGCAACCAAATTTAGACGTAGGTAATCGAGTATAACGGATTATTATGTTGATTTTTTGGTTTTTTTGTCTGTCAATAACAAAATCCCTAAAACAGATATCTGTTCAACTTTTGTTCATAGGAACACAAAGTCGTACCACAAAAGAAAATTCCATATTAGTTGAAAGGTTCTTGCGGTAGCTGAAGAATAAATTTTCCGAATAGATTATGAAAGTAAAGATCTCTGCTGATTTTTGGTGGTTACAAAAAACTTAAAATAAGCATCATGAAACAAATCTAATGATGTTGAAAAGAAAACCAATCGAAGTAGCGTTTAACAAAAAACTATTATGGTTGATTGAAAAGAATTAAAACTTATTTTTCGATCTGACAAAAGGTACGACTTCAGTTAATTGATTATTTTTGAGACTGGCATCAATAATCCAATAAACTTGATTGTTACCTGCAAAATACCAATGCGGAATGCTTAGAAAAGCAAAAACACTAATACAAATCAATCAATTACAAGAAATGAGTTGAAAACACTAATCTAAAGTGACAAAAAAAGTGTGAAATGAGTTAGCGAAGTATTCCCGGGAAAATTTCCGCGAAATATTCGGAAATTTGATGGTTGACTACTCGGATTTACTGCGAAAAATAAATATAAGAGATCTAAAGTTGTCTCTCGGTTAGAAAAGTCGGTAATTCCTTTCCGATGCATTTAATCATAAAACTTAAAAAAGAACAATTTTTTGTTTTTTTGTCAACACAATAATTATGGATAGTTTTTTCATAATTAGGATTGACATAATTAGGAATGACATTATTAGGAATGAAACTGATAGACGAATAGTATTAGGAGTTTTGCCATGAGGGAGAAATTTTTTTTGGAGTAATATAAATATAAGAAAGTCACTCTACATCTTCCGCAGTAGTTTTTTCTTCATTGCGAGTAAGTGATACGTGTTGTAAATTTGCTAGTAACTTATCCGACGGACCGGAGAAAACAAATAGATTAAACTCAGCTGAATGCAGGCAGTCTAATTATTTTAATGAGTGTTTTTTTCTAGCAAAAGAATTACAAAACAGTATTAAAATCTCAGCGCGAAAGAAACTTTTGACATTATTGTTTGTGTGCAAAATTGATATTGCGACAAAAAAAAATAAAAAATTGAACAGTTTTGTTGTTTTACTCACCAAAAAAATTCATATATATTCGATGTATTGAGGTGAAGTTGAAAATGGACTAATCTGCGAAAAACCGAAAAAAAAAATAAAAACAACGTCCATGAATCAAACTAGATAATTCGGAAATGCATCCATGGATAAATATATTTGAGTTGGAGAATCAACTTGATCAGAAAGACGTAATCAATTTAAAAAACTGGATGCTCAAAAAAGGCAGGGACAAAACAGAAAAGTCGTAAAATTATCCATTTGTTGATTAGATTCTATTTTTTAAATTTCGCGGATTTGCTTGCCTCCCAAATTTCCAATATTTTGCTCAAAAAAAATTCCTTAAATGTTTCTTTAGTCTAAAAAAATTTTGAGATTTTTTTTTCTGAAATACTTTGCAAAGTTGCAAAAAAGCTCAACCCGGATAAAAAAACGAGGGTGCAGCAGCAGCGTTCCTTATGTAATTAAATTATGTCTCAAGGACTGTTCAACCGACCTGATTTTATATGCCACTATCTTCCCTCCCAGTACTTTGTGATCCACAGTTCGATCCAAACCTGCGTGCCATCGGCAATCCCCGGTTGCGCTCTGTGTTATTTCTGTGCATTGGGGTTCAGTAGACACATCATATATTACTCTATCACTGCATTGAGTGAATAGCAAAATTGGATAGAGCACACAAAATTGGAGGGCAATTTTGCTGCAAGTCATCATTGTAAATTGAAGATAGTGAGCGGTGTTTGTTTTCTGAAAAAATCATAAAAATATGTTGTAGCTTGAAAACACTAGAAATTCTGGACAGTAATGAAACATTTGTTAAAAACTTTGAGCATCACTTGAAACCATGAAAAAAGATATTAATCGATATAATGTTCCTTTTTTATCAGCGGAAAGACGGGAAAAACATGAAACTGATGAATTTCGAAGAACAATTTGTGTATGGATAGCCCGGAAAAAAGTTAGAAACTATATAGCAAAGAGCATAATTAAAACTTATGACTAAGAATCCTTATTTGCCGTGAATAAAAATTAATAATCAGGTGACTAAAATGATGCAAATACCTCTAGAAACTGAGTAGATAAAAAATCTCTCTTTGAAACATTTCACAAGAAAAAACTTGAAAATTTCTGTTGAAATTTTAGAAAAGTCGACAAAATTTCATAGGGCAGTCGAAGTACCAAGTAACTCCGCTCATCTTTTGTATCAATTAGCAACCATTCTTTTTTTCAAAAATTGCTAATCTATGAAAAGGAATTGACAATACAAAACTTCATAAAACATGTCTATAACAAAATTTTCATAATTGTCTTGCATACTTCTTCAAACAACGAATAGAAAGTAAATTAAGCTTTACTGACTTATTTACTTACGAAACTTATGAGTTTTTTATAATTGTACTTTTTTTTTAGAAAAAGACTCAAAAGATCGAGTTCTAAAAAACAAATAACAATTGACAGAAGAAAAAATTTATACCATAGAATGGGTACCGTGACAACTCGTAACAGAAAACAAATTTCCAGGAAAGCGATAAACCGCAAAGTTTGGAAAATGAATCGTAACTTGAGAATTTCAGTTTAAAGTTTTTTATGCGACTGCGGCAGTGAAAGTTTCAATAGTGAGTTCTGCTCTTTTTTGCGACGGCAGCGGTGGGTCATTTTTTAAAGTTGCGTTTTAGTTACCGTGTCATCTCGCAACAGAAAACAAACTTCCAGGAAAGCGATAAACCGAAAAGTTTGGAAATTGAATCGTAACTTGAAAGTTTCAGTTTAAAGTTTATTTGCGACTGCGTCCATGAGTGTTTTAATTGTGAGTTCTGTTCTTTTTTTGCGGCGGCAGCGGTTAGTCGTTTGTTTTTAGTTGCGTTTTTGATGCGGCTGCGGAGGTGAGTGTTTTATTGTGAGTTTCGTCTTTTAATCCAACTGCGACGGAGATTATTTTATTGTGAGTTCCAATTTCTAATGCAACTGCGGCGGTGAGTATTCTATTGTGAGTTTCGTCTTTAAATGCAACTGCAGCATGCATTTTTTCTTGCGAGTTCCGTCTTTTAAGACGAGTGCGGCAATGAGTCTTTGAATCCTTAATGTGAACTCCGTCTGTTACACGAGTGCGGCAATGACGCCTTAATTTTGGTGCAATTGCTCCAAGGTAAAATTATGCATTAATTATACCAAAGTTAAATTTTGGGCCTGAAGTTTGCAAAAAAGAATGAGTACCGTGACAACTCGTAACAAAAAACAAATTTCCAGGAAGGCGATAAACCGCAAAGTTTGAAAATTGAATCGTAAGTTGAGAGTTTTAGTTTAAAGTTTTTTTTGCGACTGCGGCAGTGAAAGTTTCAATAGTGAGTTCTGCTCTTTTTTGCGACGGCAGCGGTGAGTCATTTTTAGTTGCGTTTTGATGCAACTGCGGCGGTGAGTGTTTTATTGTGAGTTCCGTCTTTTAATGCAACTGCGGCGGTGAGCATTTTATTTTCAGTTCCGTCTTTTAATGCAACTGCGGTAATGAGTCTTTTGTTGTGAATTCCGTCTTTAACACTAGTTCGGCATTGAGTCATTTATTGTGAAATCTTTTTTTTTACACGAGTGCGGCAATGAGTCTTTTTTTTTGTGAATACCGTCTTTAACACGAGCTCGGCATTGAGTGAAAAATTGAGTGAAGAAAATTGACCCAAGCATAAAAATTCCGCACTTTCTCGAAAGCCGGAACACAAAAGGCTTTGTATAAGTTTTTTGAGTGATTCAAATGCGGTTTTAGGTAAATAAAACAATTTTGTGATAACTGGAAAGTTTTTCCAATGAAAAGTATTTATAAAATTTTAGCATGTGAGATTTCTGGATCTTGGTCTTCATTCATGCGACGAATGGAATAGAAATTAACGAAAAGGATAAAAAATAATTGCTGACAAAACTGGCTATGCAACAATCACATTAATTTTTAAGATTTTGTCTGCAAGCCACTCACTGGCTGAAGTGGTACCAGTAAAGTTTTCAGCGGTTAAAATAGTTGAGGCTATGAACGGAGGGAGGGAGCAGGAGTTAGACCTGTTCTATATGTGTGCACCTCTACACAGCTGAAATCAGCTGAAAAAAAACCAACAGACAAGCCTGGCACAGTAACCACTATTTCAGTGCTGATTTATATTAAAAGACAAAACGCAAAGAAACTAAAAAATTAATTTTGATTAGGCCTTTAGAGGTATGTTTATGGTGGAATAAGTTTTTGCGAAACTTGGGCCTAACAATTTTTTTTTTGGATTTTTTTGTAAATTAAAAACAAAACGATATCAAAGTGAGCCTCTTTTAGACCAACAGAGATTTAAAAGGGTATAGCTTTCTTAAAATTGTGTAATTAGGACAATTTTTGTTTGATAGTCTTTAAATTCAATTTTTACTTTATAAAACACTAATATTTTATTTCAAATCAGTAAAATTTTTTGAGCGTTTTGCGCCAATTTGTGCAGATTTTACTACTTTTAAACTCTGTTGAGCTACATAGGAGATTAGTAACGGTTTTTGAGCAATTGAGCAAAAATTAAAGAGTAATTTCTGATTGATTTAAAATTCTACTAGAATTTTTATTCGGATATGACACCTTAATTTTGTACAATTGCTCCAAAGAAAAATTATACGTTAATTATACCAAAGTTAAATATCGGGCCTGAAGTTTGCAAAACAGAATGGGTACTGTGACAGCTCGTAACATAAAACAAATTTCCAGGAAAACGATAAACCGCAAAGTTTGGAAAATGAATCGTAACTTGAGAATTTCAGTTAAAAGTTTTTTTTGCGACTGCGGCAGTGAAAGTTTCAATAGTGAGTTCTGCTCTTTTTTGCAACGGCAGCGGTGGGTCATTTTTAGTTGCGTTTTAGTTACCGTGTCATCTCGCAACAGAAAACAAACTTCCAGGAAAGCGATAAACCGCAAAGTTTGGAAATTGAATCGTAACTTGAAAGTTTCAGTTTAAAGTTTATTTGCGACTGCGTCCACGAGTGTTTTAATTGTGAGTTCTGTTCTTTTTTTGCGACGGCAGCGGTGAGTCGTTTTTTTTAGTTGCGTTTTTGATGCGGCTGCGGCGGTGAGTGTTTTATTGTGGGTTTCGTCTTTTAATCCAACTGCACCGGTGAGTATTCTATTTTCAGTTCCGTCTTTTAATGCAACTGCGGCAATGCATTTTTTCTTGCGAGTTCCGTCTTTTAAGACAAGTGCGGCAATGAGTCTTTAAATGTTTTAATGTGAACCTCGTCTTTAACACGAGTGCGGCAATGACGCCTTAATTTTGGTTCAATTGCTCCTAAGTAAAATTATGCATTAATTATACCAAAGTTAATTTTTGGGCCTGAAGTTTGCAAAAAAGAATGGGTACCGTGACAACTCGTAACAGAAAACAAATTTCCAGGAAGGCGATAAACCGCAAAGTTTGCTAAATGAATCGTAACTTGAGAATTTCAGTTAAAAGTTTTTTTTGCGACTGCGGCAGTGAAAGTTTCAATAGTGAGTTCTGCTCTTTTTTTGCGACGGCAGCGGTGGGTCATTTTTAGTTGCGTTTTAGTTACCGTGTCATCTCGTAACCGAAAACAAATTTCCAGGAAGGCGATAAACCGCAAAGTTTGGAAATTGAATCGTAACTTGAGAGTTTCAGTTTAAAGTTTTTTTTGCGACTGCGGCAGTGAAAGTTTCAATAGTGAGTTCTGCTCTTTCTTGCGACGTCAGCGGTGAGTTATTTTTTTAGTTGCGTTTTGATGCGACTGCGGCGGTGAGTGTTTTATTGTGAGTTCGTCTTTTAATGCAACTGCGGCAGTGAGTGTTTTATTTTCAGTTCCGTCTTTTAACGCAACTGCGGTAATGAGTCTTTTGTTGTGAATTCCGTCTTTAACACGAGTTTGGCATTGAGTCATTTATTGTGAAATCTGTTTTTTTTACACGAGTGCGGCAATGAGTCTATTGCTGTGAATTGCGTCTTATAACAAGAGTGCGGCAATTAGTCTATTATTTTGAATTCATTCTTTAACACGAGTGCGCCAATGAGTCCGTTATTGTGAGTTCCGTCTTTTAACACGGATGCGGCAATGAGTATTTTATTGTGAGTTCCGTCTTTGCGACTGAAGTAGTGGCTATATTGTGAACTGTAATGCGATTTTTCTTTTTTTGCGAGTTGTCTTTTGGTGAGAGTTATCGCCTTACGAATTTTTTTTTTGCTAAAATTGTTAATAAAAAAGATTCTATCTTAGAACTTTTTTGTAGGAAAAGTCGCTTTCTCACAACTTTCTAATGAGAAAAAGTCCCTATCTTGTAACAATCTTAGAGCTTAATTTTGTAAGAAGTTGCAAGATTTTTATGAGAAAAGGTCTGAGATAGCCAGTTTTGGTCAACCCGAAAACGTGCAAAGTGCAATCTAACCTGCAGGAAATTGATGCAGTTCAATTCAACAGTTAATTAAAATTTTAACTTCAAACACACAAAAATAAAAAGTGATTTTTGTTAGTTGGCTCGTTTAAAAAGTTCATTCTGATAACTTGCGTTTGATGTAATTAACAGCAAATGATATGTTCACATTTGGTCTAACCATGCAAGCAAAATGCATGTTTACAAAAAGCATGTTTTTTTTCTTGCCTTTTCTGGTTTTATTCTAGTATTGCTCTCATGTTGGTGATTACCGTAAATTAAAACATTCGCTTTTGTTTATCCGTGTTAAGACTCTGTGTTTTGCATTTGTTGAGAATCAGAAAATAATTAATGTTCGAAAATTAACTCTGTGATTCAATCTAAGTTTCGCTCAGCATACTATTGACATTATTATTCCGACTTTCGCAACAAAAGTAACGGAATATTTGTGATCGGGGTGAATTTTTTCCTTCAAACAAGTTCGAATTTTTAACAAGCCAATTTTAACAAAAATTTTTCAAATCATTAAAAAGGCATTGTTGCCTTGAGCTTGATTTTGAACAGATATTTTACCGGTAATCAGTTTTCGTGAAATATGGGGATTTAAGGATTGCCAATTTGGCCAGTTTTGGAAATTATCGCTCGATATATTTCGCGCTATTAACGCGTAAGCGGAAATTTAATCCGTCTTAGAAATTGTTCCACGTGGTTCAAGGAAGCTTTTTCCCCTAGTTGATTTGTTAATAGGATTTAAATCTCTCACTTTCTTTTGTATATGGCGTGTAGGCGGATGATTTTTACAAAAAAAATGTCAATGTTTTTCAATTAGCTATGTTTTATTACATTCAGTTTTTTTATGTTTTTACTTCTCCTTAGAACTTAAAAGGCAGTAGGAACATACAGGGCTCCGCCCTGATACGAGCAGTCTTGTTTTGATTTATGATTTATGCCAAGCCCTCCAATATTGCCCATTTAACTAACGTTACAAGCTTTGATTTAGTCCCTCTCATTATACCCCTCAAAAATAAAACTAATTAACATCACGCTCGCTGATTTTTTTTTGAAATTGGGAACAATATAATCATTTAAATAGGCTTCGGTTTGAATCGAATTTTAGAGAAATCAAAAGAGCGGGAGCTAGAAAAGAGCCAAATTGATTCCCGAAATAGCAATACTCCTTTCGAAATGCAACGAATGAGCAAAATGTATTGATAACCAAGCAAAAAACATTATGGTAAAGATAGTAACGCAGAAGTTTACTAAATATGTTTCTACAGTTTTTAAGGAAAACTGATTTGAGCCACTACCAAGGTGCAAAAGAAAAATTGCATCCAAATTTTTTAGAGAGTTTTTTTTGAAAACAGTTTTTGATAGATGCTGCAAAAAATGAAAAAAAATTGAAGACAAACTTAAGTCTGTAAACAATTTTGAAACATTTATAGTTACAAAAAGTAGCCTTACGATTTCCATATGTCCAAATTATGAGAACAGCAATTTTTCTTAAATTGAAATTTCTGTACGGTACCTAATATAACATGACCAACGACCAATTTTATGAAGCAGTTTTGCCGGAGTCGAATAGTCTAATCTTGCTTCAAATAAATTGAAAAATCTTGAATCGGGTAAGAACACAACTTTCATCTCCATTAATTTTTTTAAAGCGTTACCTTAAAGCAAAGTGAAAACAGGTCTTGCAGTTGCAAACAAACAGAATCTAGGTGGATTCGAAATACAAGCCTTTGTCGTCTCTGGCATACGTGTTACGTCTCACTCAGATGCGCTGGATAATAATGTCACATCGTTATGATAATCGAACAAAAAACACAGAAATTGATTTTAATAAAATTTCATTTTTTCAAAATTTACTGCCAGACTGGGTACGGGTGATTCATTTTTTTCGAAAATTTTTTGTTGGAGATCAATTGTTATAAAATCAACAAAACTAAAAAAAATAGCAGATAAAACATTCGGGAAATAAGCCGCAAGAATTAAGGCCGAACGAATGAATTATGTGCCGAAAATCTACTAAAATATTTGAGTCTGATAAAATAATAAAGCAACTCTTAACGTAAACACAAGACCAATACAGTAACCGGGATATTAACTATTGCTTCGTGTAATTAACCATGCTGATTATCATTTGACCATTTTGTGGCCAAAGTTACTTACGGGAAAAAATCTAGTGAACGATTGCAATACCCTTGCTTATCGCACGGGCATGAATTTCGCATTGCACAAAATGGTGAAATAAATTGATTTTTAAACATTGTGAATAGGAAAATGTTTCAAATACTTGTGAATGAGGCAATCGTTTTCCTCGGTTAATTTGATTAACTTTTTTAGCATATTGGTAATTAAATTTCGAAGCACATGGTATCACAATCACTCTAATCGTCAATACTACCTGCTACACGTGACACCATAATTCACATTAACATTTTCCTCAGAAAAAAATTTGCTGCGCAGTATAAAACTACGGTCGGCTTGTCTAAAAAAAAACCATTTACATAGCACAACATCCGCTGAGTCACCAAAAACCAGTTGACAAAATCAGAAGCACATTCAAAAAAAGGCCTCCGGATACGGATAAAATTTAATATTTGTAAACCATTTTTTGAAAAAAATGCTTCGGGTTTACAAGTCTTTCATTCATTCATCGCGCTTATTGGCTTTGAGCGAACAATTTTCAATCGCTAAATGCAAATGCTCAAATTCATTCCTCTTGAAATATAATTCCGCGCAAACATCAAAAAAAGAGGTTATGCGGGGCTACAATTTACGATTACACTCCTTTTATGTTGAAAATTTTAGTCCGCATCTCAAAACAAAATTATTTAGAGTTAAAAATTCCAAACATTCAAAGCTGCTCTCATTTGCACTTAGATCTTGTTGTTTCAACCGTTTGAAAAATGTGGAGAAACTTTGAATTTAAGTGTGTAAGTTTTTTCATTGTTTTCCACGCATTACCATCTGAATGGATCGAGTGATAAATCAAATTCAAGCCCTTCTAATCTTGATTCGAATGACATTAAGCAATTTCCAAAAACTTTTTCCTGCGTTGAGAAAAAACGGTTCAAAAGTTTTGATTTTTCGTGTTATTTAGAGCGAGCAAATCGAGCGAGCATGCTTATTTAAGCTTAATTTAGGCCGTTCAGGGTAGCTTATTTAAGCCTATTTTTAGTTTAATTCGAGCAAAATTAGTTCTTGGAGCTTTATTAACGCCATTTTGACACTCAAAAAACTTCAAAATTTCTGCAAAAAAAATGTTGATTTTTTTAATGATTTTTGTTTAGTTTTTCTAGTCATTTTTCTTCAAAAACTGTTGACCTGTTTACCGGCTATCCTTGTTTCATATTTGCAACTTGCTAACTTAATAACTAAATATTTGCATATCAAAAATCATTATAATTAGAACATCTCACACCTTAGTTCGCATTATCCTTGCTATACTGTTTAATGCGGATCCTATCTAATATTGAGTTTCGGACAAATAATTTTTCACGAGAATGTATTCTAAACTTTTACCACTAGATATACTATTATTCTTTGATCAAATACAAATAATTTAAATTATGAGTTAATTCGGTGTTTCATATTCGGCACTTGAACTATAATTTAGGCAGAGAAGGTAAAGTAGCAGAGATTAAGTCATTCAGGCAAATGAAGATTTGACGATTCGGTCGCCCAACAGTTGGCAGGGTCTGAAGTTGTCGCACATTTGTCCCTCTGTGAAGCCAGGAAGATCTTCGCGCGTGAATGCACGTAGTGTTCGGAACTGTGCCATCTGAAACATTTTTAACGTTTATTCGAGAACCATGCAGGGAAGCAAAATTCCAAGGCAGAAAATATAATTTTAGACACAGAGGCGAAGCAGCGCATCGCAAAAATTATCGAGAACACGACAAAAAAGCTGCCTTATGAAGTGAAATAAGAAAAAATAGAAAAAGCCTCGAATTAGTAAAACTTTGCTACGCCTTGGCTCCGAAACTGTGAACTCGAGATCAGGGATCTCACGCCCTGCCCTCTCGGCCACGAACTCTTAAAAATCGGCAAATGCTAGTCAGAAAAAAAGCAGCTATATATGCTAACAAACAGCATTTTGAAAAAGCATTTCAATTATGCATTTCAAAAAATTGCGAAATATATTGAGTTAAAAAATTTATGAAATCGAGTTTTCATGATTGTTATGTTGTTTTTAGGGTTCATTTGATGAACTAAAAATACATTAACTGTGTTAACTTATTTTGATTCGAATGTCAAAGCACATACTATCAAAATGTAAATGTGCCACCAAGAGTAGAGCCAATATTTGCGACTTAGGCTATAAAAAAAGAATAGTCGTAATATTAAACTATCCCTCACTAAACTTCGCTTATTTAAAGATAACCAAAAGAAAAATTATGCAGAAAACTAATTTGAAATGAGGCATCGACCTGAACACCAAAATATATTTCAATTGGACCATTCAAAATCCCAACTGCAAAAACAAATGAGAACAAAAAAACATCGTTCTCTATTCAGGCGAGTAGCGTGGAAACGCAATTTATGTTCAGAACACTCAATTTTAAAGTATGACGTCAAAGTGGTTATGCGGAGCAGAAGGAAATATATTGAATTTTTTATGCCGATTATTTAAGGAGAAAATCACGGAATATTTGTGCTCATGGTGGTTTTGTTTCTCCAGACAAATTTCGAGTTTTGAACAACTCATTTTTGACGGAACTTTTCATCATCCAAAAAATAAGGCTGTCCTGAGCTCAGATTCAAAAAAGTTTTACCTGTGACCTTAGTTATGAGGGTTTAAAGATTCCCAATTTGAGACAATGAACGCGTGATATATTTCGTGCTATAAACGCGTACGCAGAGATTAAATCCGTCTTAGAAATCGTTCCAAAATGAATTGAGGCATGCTATTTGGACTAATATTAAATTCTTTATACGCGAAATACATTACTTTGTTCTTAATATGGCGTGTGGGGGATAATTTTCAAAAAAAAACAACGCATATTTGAAAACTTCAACTTTTTTAACGAAAACTCCATACAGTTTAAAAGGCAGCCAAAACGTGCATGGCTTCGCCCTGATACGAGCAGTCTTGTTTAATTTTGTGCCCTAATGAGTGCAATTTTAGTGCAATGAGTGCCCTAAAATCCTGCAATTTAAACTTTTTCTATAAACCTAGCCCAATTAGAGAAAACTGGATCAATAGGTAAATTTTCATTGAATTTTTTGCTGAGAAATCTATAAAATTAAAATCCACTTACGAAATTAAAATTAATTCAATTTTTTTTGCGCTGTTTCGGCTTTCGCAAATGAAGCGCGTAATTTGCTTTCCTTTTAGAAAATGAATTTGAAATGAAAAAGAAACCAAAAAGCCAAAACTGGGCGCAATCAAATTCTTAGATTTTTCCTTAAAAAACCATAAAAATCAAAACTGCCTATATAAGAGTAGAGTCTTCACTACGTTCATTGCCACTTAATCAAAAACACGTCGAATGACTCAAATGTTATGTAGCGATACCAAGGTCGAATGCGAAGAATAAAGAACACCTGATTTGGGGACATCGTAAGGGGGTATCTGTACACTATCCACGTGACCTCTTCTGAAATTGGGGGAAAAGTGGTGGATCCTATGTAGGACCAGTAGTCCCTCAGATCTCCAGAGGGCAAGAAGCAGTTCGGATTCAGCCAATGCGGCTCACTCACCGTCTTGCTTCTCATCTGTAGAACAGATCAAAAACAATCGTTCATCCTATATTTGTTCTGTTCCTGTATGAGCCTCCTCCAGTACAGTGACTTTCAAAATTTGACTTTTAAAACTGTCTTGGGGGACAGGACATTAATTTACTTGAATTAAATAAAAACTGAATAAAGTTCTCTCTGAGTATACCAACCATGAAATGAATGTCTTCTAAAAATTCCAGGAATGAATTGAAGCCGTGGTTTTCTCTGCCTATCTGAACATGAAAACTAATGTAAGTAACCTGAAAATGGGAAATTTTGAATGTAAAAGCAACTGTTAAGTTGTAACTGATACAAAGCAAACTGACCTGTACAAAAATACTTGTGATTACAACTCCATCTTTACAGCCCAGTGCTTCCTCGTATGTCGGGAACTCATCGCTGTTCCAATGGATTAATTGCACCTAAGTAAATATGGTGCCGTCCCATTTGTACCAACGGTCATTTGTACCAAAATGAAAAATCGGTCCCATTTGTACCAAAATTATTCAACTCGATTTCTGATTGGTCGAATTGTGAACCACAAATTATTACACTAATTTTCTGCTGTTCAAACAGAAGAAAACTAAACAGCAGAATAGTGACCGCCGCAGTCGCGCCAACGTGTGGCGAGCTTGCCAACAGAAGGTAGGACTCTATACGAAAATTAGAGCCGGTTATCGCCGCAAAGCGGCGACGCGCGCGTAGCGCGCCCACCGGCGACCTTAAACCAAGAGCTTAAAGTAGTCGGCTTAATAGTCTTAGGCCAATTGAATATTTTTGGTACTAACGCGATTGATTTTTATTTTGGTACAAATGGGACTGATTTATCGGTGCGTATTCATAGGTTCCAAAATAAAAAACCAGTCCCATAGGTTCCAAAATAAAAAAGCAGTCGCATAAGGTCCAAATCTTTTCATTTGGTCAAAAGACTAAATTAGCCGAGTCTCGGTTTAAGGTCGCCGGTGGGCGCACTACGCGCGCGTCGCGGCGATAACCTTCTCTAAATTTCGTATACAGTCCTACCCTTTGGTGGCAAGCTCGCAACACGTTGGCGCGGCTGCGGCGGTCACTATTCTACAGCTTGAGTTTATGCTGGTTGAACAGTAAACAATCAATCCATAAATTTGTTGGCTCAAATTTCAACCAATCAGAATTCAACAAGATAAATTTTGGAACTTATGCGACTGATTTTTCATTTTGGAACCTATGATTATTGGAACCTATGGGAATTCACCGATTTATCATTTTGGTACTTCTGAACAGAACTATGAATTTTTTATTCGATAAAATAATTATTCCGCAACGCAATCAAAATGCGCTATGTTATCGAAGATTACGTAGCATTATTTAGACTACCACGTTTTCATACTCCTCAGTAAGCAGACAAATAATATATTAACCAATCAGAATCGAGACAAAAAAGAAAGTAATAAGTATTAATTGTTTATTTCGTAACTTTGCTTTCTCATCTCGATTCTGATTGGTTGATTTAGTATTTGTCTGCGTACTGACGAGTAGGAATACGTAGTTGTCTAAATACTGACCGCACTCTGTTAATGAGGTTTGTTTGTTAGTTAATCTTTACCTCCATTGGGTATGCTTTGAAGTTGACAGTGTGTTCCGATCCTCTTGAATCATCGTTTCCCCAGTGGAACCAAACTTCAATTAACTCGTACCGCCGAATGTCCAGCACTCCTCCAGATATATCTGTGCACAAAAATTCATTTTGAACAGACCAGCTGCCACAACAATTATATATAGAAATTGACCTCAACGACTTACAAGATTTTGAGGCTGTTAGAATGTCAGTTGCGGAGTCCAATGATGTCACCAAAGAAGGCCTGTGTTCCTCAAAAGATCCCGCTAAATATAGTGAAAAAAATAGCATACAGACAGTTTGAAAAGAGTCATTGAACGCAAGAAAACAGAAAGAAATACTGACTTGATTTTTGAAAGAAGAAAAAAATATAGATGCATTAAAGTTCTTTGAAATTCTAGAACACTTTATTGTGGTTATGAGAAAACTGGTTCAATAAGTCGAATTTTATTTCGCTGGGAAATCTGAAAACCAAATACCACTTCCGAATCTAAAAGTCCTAGAATTTAATTAAAGATTAACCTTCCTTTTAACTAAAGAAATGAACTGAACTTAAAAAAATCAAAAGCCAAACCGCGAAAAAATAAATCTGAGCCTGAATAATTTTTAAGACTTTTGCTGAAAAAAAAACAGAAAAAAATCATTGCGACCTATTTAAGAGTCTGAAATACGTTCATCGACTCTTAATAATTTATAATTCAACAAAACTACACAATCTACATGAAATTAAACACCGAGGCTGCGCTTCCAAACACTAGGGAGAATACGACAAAAAATCAGCTCTTTAAATTGCAATCATAAACATTAGAAATGAGTTTTGAATTAGTTTTAAAAAAATTGGCTGCGTCTCGGATTCGACCTGCGACCAAGAGATTATGAGTCTCACTCACTAGTCACCCAGCCACGGACGCTTACTTGCTCACAAACACTAGCCAAAAAGAGCAGAAAACAGATGCTATGAAACTTCCAATGCTGCAGATTGTGATTATAGCAAAAGTGCCATCAAATAATGAACAATTTGCCACCAAATAATGAACACTTTTATTTGCGAGTTAGGTTAGAAAAAAACGCTCGCAAGCTCGATAGTGTAAGCAATGTTGCATAGGAATTGTAGCAAAACATTTGGAAAATACGAATATTATTTTTCAACCAAAGAGTTGCCCAAAAGACGAAAATATTGGCTGATCTAAAATTCGACAATTCAGTCGAACATGTCCGAAATGTTCTTTTTTGGATCATAACATTTTTGTTTAAGGCTTTTGATCTTAGCAGAAAACATGCTTTGCAGCCTGATTTGATATGCGTACAAACTACTAGTTGTCCGCGACAATTTTCCGTCAAAAAAAACAATGGTGAAACTGAAAAAAAGTACCTTTCCTGCTCCTAAATGAGAGCAGAATAGTGTATCCGATATTGATGATGTCATAGTTGACGTGGAGATTGTATTGGATCTTCAACATGCCACAATTAGGGTCACTCATGGCTAGGTGAGGCAGTAGATTCACAGGAGATTGCGAAAGACTCCTGTCGTCAAAGTGTCCTCCCTGGCTGTTATCTGAGTCACCCGTTCCCACCGACAACAATTCGGTGTCATTGTCTGAATAAACATCATTTACATTTCAAAAAACAACACTTCATTTATTTTAATTATTGTGGTTTATCGCCATTTTAGGCAATGCTGATGTCACCTTCAGAACGATAATACTTACGCAAAGCGCTCATCGATTATGGCGAACAATGCAAATGTTAATTTAGAAAACGTCATTACCGTCTGTTGAGCAATGATTTAACGCGAAGTTCCCCAGATCGAGCAGCGTGCCTCTGCGACTGCTGTATTGTGACCGGTCTCGTATGGTACTGCAAGATATTCCCATATATGATCCGCCAAAAGAACTGCGGCACCTGAATCCATGTGACAAAGCACCTCCTCCATGTCTTCTGTATTTGGCATGCTTTGATAGAATAAATTTGTAAGCAACAGCAGCATCTTCAGCACGTTCCTGAAATTAAGATAAGTGAACCGTATTGATTAAAACAGTCGCTAATTTAATTATCTGCAGTCTGCACATTGTGTCTAAAGAAAATATATCATATTAAGATGCCGAAATAAGAACAAGCAACTCGACACCACAAAAAATATGTATCTATATATTTATATTTATTCTCCAGTCGAGTTGCGTGTTCTTATTGTTCTGACTTTCATTTTTTATTACATTTAAGTTTTTCATGTTATTACTGCGCGACAGACCTTAAGAGGCAGTCGGAACATTCAGGGCCTCGCCCTGATTCGTGCAGTCTTGTTGAATATATATTTATTGTATTACAAAAAAATAGAACATAGAATAGAGCTTAGGAAAATTCGACAACAATATGGTTAACCTTAGAAACTAAATAAATTTATTTCAAATCACAAACTGGTTATCTTTTTAGATTAAAAAAATTAATTCACTTGCGAAAAAAAAATTTCAGTAGAAAAAACGACAAACTTTTATATGTTCAAAATCAACAATTATAAGAATAATTGTGAAAATTGGAAAATTTCAGCGTAAAAAACATCTGTTAAAGCGAACATTAAGTCAGGTTGTGACTTGAATTGAGTTGAGAAAAAAAGCCAATATTGCCTTTATATCGACTCAAAAATTTTTTGATCAGTTAATTTCCAGTCAAAAAGTGAAAAATTGACGCCATCTATTAGCGCGAGAATATAAAAACTGCAAATTTTGAAAACTGATACCATCGAAAAAGTCCGCGCTATTAGATTATTTGCTGTTCCTTTTTCAGGGCCGCCCGGCAATTTTTTATGCGTATAATTTGCATATTACTTCTCATTGATAAAACACGCTTTTGACTTGTTTTTAAATATTGAAGTAAAATTGCTGATGAAAATCAAACAAAACAAAATTTTTAAAGAGAAGCACCTGAGCAATTTTTTGTCAAAAAATTTACTTTGTAAAAGTGCTAATTCTAAAATTAGTTGTCGGTAATTTTAAAGGCAGTGTTAATAAGATTTTCATATAATTGTGCGACAATTTTCAGTTCAATTCTGTTTTAAATCCCACAAATGATTTGCTTTTACGCAGAGTACAACAGTTGTTTTAGTTGGTACCTGAAAAACGGTCGTTCCAAAGCGCAGCTCAACTGTTTTTCTAGAAACAACATTAAAATCGGGTTGAATTGCGTTCAAAAACAGCGCCCAGTCAATTTTTTTTCTACCTAACGATTGTTTCATTCAAACGATTAGTTTCTTACTTCTGTTTATCAAAACTTGTGCCAAAAAAATATAAATTTTGCTTTCAATTCATTTTTTTTCCAACTGATTCTCGGTCCGAAAAGCAATTGTTATGAAACTTGCAATGGCTCAGATCGCCCTTCGAAGAAAGAGATGAAGCCTTACCGAACATTGTACTAATAAAGTACAGTGGTCCAAATAGCGTACCAAAACTTCAAGCGCTACATAGTCGTTTTCGAAAATCAATGACCTAAATTGAACAATAATGGACCAGAACCAGTCCTTGTGGTAATTGTTTTCAGCAAGCCTTTCAAAAAAATAACTATTGTTCGGATGCAATTTTTAAGAAGGTTTCCATCAATGGATTTGCGTTTGCTTAAACAGTTCCACCATGCATTCGCGTTTGTCCAAAAATTTTAATGAGAAATAACAATTCAAACCTTTTCGAAAGATCAAATAAATCTGCAAAAAATGTTGTTTTTTTTAAATTTTTTTTTGGAAATTTTCTGTTTTGTTGGTAGAAATATCCAGCCAAAATTTTTTTTGCGGAATCCAATCAAAAAAGAAGTCTTTTGAAGTTTTTTAAATTTTCTGTGGTTTGAGCATAAAAAAATGCGCAATGAACTGAAAAATTTTGATAATTTATGGTCTTTCTTTGAATATTTTTGTTTTTTGCTTTTTTTTAGTTTGAAGAAGAAAAATTTTTCATCTATACAGGCGTTATACCCAAACATTAGGTTTGGTTTGATTGTTGATTAGCTATACGCTTTTATAGAACAAGGTCCATGGGGTTTCTTGATATTGAAATTTCAGATCAAGTTATAGCAATGATTCAAAAAGATACGCTATAAGTCGAGGGGTGAAATTTCAATCGTTCATGGATTGTAACACTGTGGTTTGATAGTGCCTTGATAGAGTTTGATGACATAATTTAAATCAAAAGATAGTTGAAATTTTTAGTTTTTACAGTCTTGTTTATCCCGTACTTGAAGGAAAGAAAGATTTATAAGGTAAATTTATTTTGAAGTACTGGATAAGAACTTGAAATTTAGTTCCAAATTTTTCTTTTTGCTGAACCGTGTCGAAAAACAAAGAAACAATTAAGCGAAAATTTTATTTGGTTATTTCTATTTATTTTGGCGATTTGATCAGGCTAAAATTGTTAGTTTTACTTGTTATCATTTGAATTTGGGTTTGATCATTTAAGAACGAATCTTTTTTCTAAGTTCTTGTTAGTTTTCTAAATCTGCTTGCAGCATAATTTCGGCAATTTAATTTGAAAAAAACTTCTCCTTCGGTTTGAGCTTGATGCTTATGAGCACTAAAAAGTCAAAAATTCATATAGCTAAAACCCAGGAAGAGCGAAGAATTTCTTGCAAAATTTTTTTCCATGGAATTTCGTTTGAAAAGAAAAATTTTTTTTTGGCTTATTTAAAAGAACCGGTTTTATAGGGTTTATCAAAACTAAATTTCGTGTACCTTTCCTTCAAAGTCTTTTATAAGATACTCAGTTGAGCTCTTGCCAAAGCACACTGACTCTGTTCTCAAACTTTGGAGAAAAAAAAATTTAAGCCGTGAAAATGTGAAAAAAAAATCAATGTTTTTCTCTAAATTGCGTAGATAATTAATGTTATAAATTCAAAGAGGTTCTGGTGTGATCATAGTTCAAACTAATCAACTTTTTTTGATTACTGGAGTCACTAAATGTAGATTTGTGTTACTAATATTTGTTTGCCCTATAATTTTAAATAATCTCTACACTTTTGGGCTAAGTTTACTGGCATAGTTATAAGACCCCGCCATCTTCTTTTTTAAAAATCTCTGAGTGCCTGTCTTATCGAAATATAAATAGGTTTTCTGATCAAGGTTCCGTCAGCTGATATCGTCTTTCTTTCAGCCAGATTGCCAAGGTTTCTAAATTGTTCTGTTCAAATCAAATTTTAAAATTTTTTTTTGAAGTGCGTGCTTTTTTGGGGACACTTTGAAAATTCATATCAACAATAAGTTTTTTTAGCAAGTTTCAAAAGTATTTAAATTGGTTTCTCTCTCTCCCCAATTTCTGCAAGTAATCAAGTAAATGCAAAAAAATACAATAACACTGATCTCCGCTCCTTTTTCAGTCACTTTTTGTATGGTTACAATTTGTGAGCTGACGTTGCCAAGGAAAAAAATTTAATTGTTCCTTACTTTTTTAAAACTGTTTTAACAACTGAATCGCTCAAAATTTAACCAAGAAAGAAACGAAATTATTGTTTTATGAAAAATTTTGCACTGCTTTCAAAAAATTTTAGCATGTCCTTTGCTTGTTTTGAATCAATTTTGGATGGCTATTGATTTTGTTTCAGTGGGGGTTGAGAAGTTATTTCAAACGAAATTGCAGTAATTTAGGATTGACTAAAGTTGAGTACTTAAAAGATTGTAAACAAAGCTCTCTGCCCGTTTGAAGGACGCAGTCCATCTGTGTTTAATTTGAAAATCAGCTTGTTAGAATTCGTTTTTTTGCGAAAAAAGTCGTTCTAGAAGCTCCCACACCGGTCACTGTACAAACGAATATTTTTGTGGTGGCGATTTATTAATTGAATACAAAAAAGTGTTTTTTTTTGTAAAAAAAAAGAAAAGCTTATTCTGAGTTCCAGTCTATCCGAAATATTTGGATAAGCAGTCAGTTATACCAATAAGTGTAAATACAAGTTTCAAGCTGCTCAATTTGCAGTTTTTTCACGCTCCAGTAATTTAGATGTTTTTGTCCTTTAAAACTTTTTGCCATAACGTTTTCAGATATCTGCTCATCATTGTATAAAAGAAAATTGAACCACCCACCAACAACCCATCATAGTTTCTATATATTGAAATGACTGAATCTTGTTTTCGTAATCCCACTGGTTTTTCAATTCTGGAATGCTCTAGTTTTTTTGTATTCATTGATTTTTTTTTACTTTTGGTTCTTTAATGCGTTGATGCAGTCAAATTATGAATACTTTTTAACTTGATTTTACTCTCAATCGCAAGCTTGTAAAGATCGTATGCTCATATATCGTTGAATTTTTGAAAAATTCCGAGACCGTGAAATTAGGACATTAAAATAAAGCAATAAACAGAATCGACTGTTTGCTAGTAAAACATTATTGACTTGTTTTTGGCAAGAATACTTCATCTTTTGGGTTTTAAGGGATTTTTAAGGCCTCAAATATCTTTGATTCTCAAGAGAAATTTGTTTCGACTCTTTCTTTAGAAAAAATCAACTCTATTTGAGAAAACTTGATCAATTTGTAAACCTTTACAATTTTTCCGTCGAGATTTTCGGTCAAGACATATCGAATTTTGGTCGAGAAATTAGGAACATATCTGAACTGGGTCAAAAAAGTTGAACATTTTTTATTGGGTCGAGAAAGTCGAAACATACCAAATTTTGACCGAGAAATTGGAAATATATCGAAATTTTTTCGAGAAAGTCGAAACAAAAATTGAGCACCTCGACCCGAGATGAAAAGAAACTAACAATCAATGAAGCTGTGAAATAAGCGTTAATTATGATAATACACTTTTTTTCCACTAGATTACACAAAAACTAGCGCAGCAAACAACAATCGGAAAGCAAAGTCCAAAAAAAACGAAGTGACAGATCGTAAAATTTTCAATCACGTGGACTATAAATAGATGATTCATCTCATGTGAAAAACATCTTGAGTGGTTTAAACAAAATCATTCATCATATTTAAAAACCCAGTGATCTTTAGCTTGAGTTAATTACCAGATGCTCAACATCCTTTT